TTGTTTGTGTTTTTTTGTTTTTTTTTTTTTTTTTTTTAATAAAAGTGAAACTTTGAAAATACTTTAAGGCCCAAGAATAAGAAAACTGGTTATATAAATGGTGATTTACATTCTTTCCTTTCTTACATCATTATTTTTTCCCTCTTAGGATGATTTCCATCAGCACACAGATATGTCTTTTAATTTTATCTTAAAGAAAACCACTTTTGCCCCAATTCCAGTTACTTTCTCATTTCTCCGACCCTTCACTGCAAAATTCCTCAACATAATATGTAGTTATTGTCACCAATGCCTTTGCTGCTGTTCTTGACCAGTGCTAGTTAGCTTTCATTTCCTCATTCCAGCAAAAGTACTTTTATAAATGTCACATGGGTGGGCTGACCCCATGCCCTGGTGTTTACCTGGATCCTGCATAGCCAATTGTGTAGGTCAGTCCTGACCCTGGTGCCTTGAAAAGTACGCTTGGCATGTGTATTGTAAATGCCCAGAATCCCTACAGGGTGGAGAAGAGAAGGGATTGTGGTATGATCATTCCCCATTGGATGATCTCTCTCATTTTCTAGTGAGTACATGTACCCTCTAGCAGATTAAAAATGGTCACTAGGGCAATTTCAGTCATTACTTAGCTTCAATAATAATATTTGCCGGGACCAGCAGTTGGTGTGATGGCTATGTTGCTGGATTCCCATGTAGTCGACCACGGTTCGAATCCTGGACCCCCGGTGGCTTAAACTCACGCCGGGCGTGTGTGCGTGCATGCCCAAGATCCTGAGAGGAGAATGGAGGCAGAGGGATTGTGGCGTGGCCATCCCCCCTAGGGTGTGATTTTTTTACTTTCTGTCTCTCTGTCTTGCTCTGTCTTTCTGGCGAGCACACACACCCTATAGCAAAAACCTCTCAAAAAAAAAAAAAATTGCCAATCTTTCTCAGTGTCCTATATTAGTTTTTTGTTTCTTCTGGATTTGATGCCAGTAACCAAAAACAGAAAGAGATAGAGCAGTGGGAATGATGCTGTAGGTCTGATAAAGTGGGTCTGCTTTTAGTAAAAATGCTAGAGAATTTGGACTTTTTATTTTTGGCACTGATCTCTCTCTCAACATCATTCATGTCTATACTCTTTCATTAGGAAAGGTAGGATTCATTCTTTTTTTATTTTTTTAAAACAAATTTCAATCTATTTAAACTTTAATTTGTGGTTACAGAACACTTTTTTCTTAGAATGATATAGAGGCACATTCTTTTAAGAAGGATGAACACACAGAAACTGGAATCATAGAATTTAGGTGATGTCAAGAGAAAGATGTAAATAGAAAATGTTTCTATAAGATGACAAAGAAAATCTTTATAGGGAAGGTAGTATTGATAGGATAGTGCTTAAGAGCACAGTCTCTGTAGTTAGATGGCATAAGTTCATATCTCAAAACCTCAGCTACAGCGCACTCTAGGTGTAGAATGTTGGCCACATCATGTAACTGCTCCAAGCTTTAGTTCCTCGTCTATAAAATTGGGTTACTGTTAGTACCTACCTTTTAGGGTTAATAACCACACAGTGAAATTTTTAGGTCTAATTTGTCATCTAAGAGATTCCCTTTGCTTTGTTAGTGTTGTGGAGAGTATTGGGTATTTTACTCCAGGGCTAATTTGTATTCCCATCCCAATCTCCTCAGCCTCCCTTTTTACACCCAAACTTGTCTTGTCCACAACCTGTGGGCTTCAGTAGATGGCCAGTGAGAGGATGGAGGGGGGATGGCACACTCCCAGTGCAGCGGTAGAATCCACATGGAGTTAAAAGCCAGGTGGTAGATATTTAAAATTGTAACTTCTGTTAATGAGTCTTATATTTTTTTCTCAGGTATTTTTTAGTGGCATAATCCATAACATGAACTTTGTGCTATGTTTGTCACCTTTTATTTTAAGGCAAGAATAGTTCTCAGTGTTAAGCTTAATGAGCTTTTAAAAACAGAACATAATAATGTAACCACCATCCAGATCAAGATATAGAATACGACTGGAACCCTAGAAATCTTGTGATTCTTTGCAGTGATTCCTCCCTTTAAAGGTTATCACTTTACTGACTTAAATCTTTTTTTTTAAACAAATATTTCATTAAGAAATTATTACTATTTTATTATTTTTTTATTTTATTTTTGGAGAGATTTTTGATATAGGGTACATGTACTCACTGTAGAGACAGAGAGAGAGAGAGAGAAAGCAAGAAATCACCCCCCCAAGAGGGGATGGCCACACTGGAATCCCTT